TGCTGTATGAATGTGTGTGTAGCAGAGTGCTGTATGAATGTGTGTGTAGCAGAGTGCTGTATGAATGTGTGTGTGGTAGAGAGCTGTATGAGTGTGTGTGTGTGTGGTAGAGTGCTGTATGAATATGCGTGTACTAGACTGCTTTATGAATATGTGTGTGGTAGAGTGCTATATGAATATGTGTGTAGCAGAGTGCTGTATGAATACGTTTGTGGTAGAGTGCTTTATGAATGTGTGTGGTACAGTGCTGTATGAATGTGTGTGGTACAGTGCTGTATGAATATGTGTGTAGCAGAGTGCTGTATGAATGTGTGTGGTAGAGTGCTTTATGAATGTGTGCGTGGCAGAGTGCTGCATGAAAGTGTTTGTATCAGAGTGCTATATGAATGTGTGTAGTATGAATGTGTGTGTGGTAGAGTGCTGTATGAATGTGTGTGTGGTAAAATGCTTTATGAATACCTGTGTAGCAGAGTGCTGTATGAATGTGTGTGGTAGGGTGCTGCATGAAAGTGTGTGTATCAGAGTGCTGTATGAATATGTGTGTAGTAGAGTGCTGTATGAATATGTGTGTAGCAGAGTGCTGTATGAATGTGTGTGGTAGAGTACTTTATGAATGTGTGCGTGGCAGAGTGCTGCATGAAAGTGTTTGTATCAGAGTGCTATATGAATGTGTGTAGTATGAATATGTGTGTAGCAGAGTACTGTATTAGTGTGTGTGGTAGAGTGCTGTATGAATATGTGTGTATAGAAGAGTGCTGCATGAAGGTATGTGTAGCAGAGTACTGTATGAATGTTTGTGGTGGTAAATGAGGGCACATATTTTATTGCAAAGAGCTTTGAGTATCTTGATAAGACTATATACAGTTAGTAAAGTCCATTTACCATTTATTTCCCAATGTTAAGTGCATACATGTAAAAGCTAAATTCTTAAAGAAGACATGGAACATAGCATCTGACATTGCACACCATCAAATCAAAAGAACAAGCAGCAGTTAGTCATCTGGACTGTTCTTTTGTCTTCCAGCTGATGAGAGGCTGTGTGTGTCGAAGGTCCTGCAGAGGGTGAAAATTGAGGTGGACGAGCGAGGAACCAAGGGATCATCTGTGACAGGTAAGCTCTGGACAACTAATGCGCTCTTGTGGCATTTATCGCTGAGCTAACACAGAAACTGCTGATGACCCACAAATGGGCTGGAGTTTAAGTACTTTCCCTTTGCTTCTCTCTCTGGGGGTGCGGGTGTCCCTGTTGGGGGACTCTCGGAGTTGCGGGCTTGGGGATCGCTGTGTGTCTGTTGTTCTGGTCTTCCCTGTGTTACCTTCGTGTCCTGTGGGGACGGGTTTATAGGTCCCCACATCCACTATTGAACATTTTTATGGAGAAACCTTATAGTCGTAAGCATGCTCACACAGGTGTTTAGATTCAGGTGTTTATCAGATACACACTCAGTTGGGTTGTGGTGGCCATCAAATATATCTTGTATTACCATGTACTGTATAAAATACTTTTTAATGATGTTACAAGTATCATTATATATGTTGTTTGTTGTTGTGGTTTCTCGGTTTTGTTGTTTTTTTATTTCCGCAGATCTAGAGGCAGACTTCAATGATGTTGATTTGTGTTCTCTTTATCCCTCTCTCTCTCTCCTCTATTCCTATCTCCTTCTTTACATTTTAACTCTTCTCTCACTTTTCTGCTTTGTTATCTTCTTTGTTTTCTGTCCACGTGTCCATTACATCTGGAACAAACCCAAAGCATATTCTAATAAAACTTAATTTATATATCAAGTGGAGCATTAAGGCCAGCCATAATGCTCTGCTTGTGAAAGTAAATCTGTTGGGCATCACTTTGACACTCAGACAATAATTCTAAGTGTCACAATGCCGGACAGGACAAGGGGAGAGAAAAAAAAAAAAGTACTTTCCCTGAGACACCGGGTTCAGGTTTCAACATATCTGTCATCTAAATGGGGCAGCTGTGGCTGAGTGGTTAGAGCAGTTGTCCTCCAATCTAAAAGTTGGGGGTTCGATTCCACCAGCAGTCACATACAAAAGTATTTCTGGGAGAGACATTGAACCCCTCATTGCCTCCAATGTGTGTCCCATTGGTGTATGAATGTGATAAAGCACTTACTATTCTTTGTAGAGATCTAGTAGAGTGCTGTATGAACGGGTAAATGAGGGCACAGATTGTAGTGTAAAGCGCTTTCATAAGATAGAAAGTACAGTCCATTTACTATTTAAATGCTCTTTGTTAATCTGATATATCAGAGAGATGATAGAATAAAAAAATGGTTGATGCAAGTTCCATACTTAGTCCCACCTTGGTCCTGTCACTGAGGAATTGGTGCAGTTAAAACTAGAAACCAGGATCAGGTTGTAGAAACTCAGCTCTTAATGATCTGATGGTAGTGTTGTATTTTGATCATTGTTGTTTTTTGTTTGTTTGTTTTGTTTGTTTTTGTTTTTCTTTTCTTGAATCACCAGGCCTAAAGCTGGAATTGTAAATAATATTATAAATTTGATGACTCCACTGTTTGTAGTCACATTATTTGAGGCTAACAGTAAAATGAATGTATGCTTGTGATTAATAATGGAGTGAATGAATGTAACACATATTTTAACTATCAAGGTTCAGCATTTTTCTGAAAGTCAGTGATTCCCAAACCTTTAGCTCCCATCCCACAAAATGATCTAATCTAATGTTGGTTTAAATGTACAAAAACTACCAATAGCCCAAATAAACATGGGCATGATGACAATATAATTAGTAACATCTATAATGTCATTTTGTTTATGAGTATTATTGTATCCTTCACAACAGGGGTGATCTTAACCTCTTTTTGGGAGTGCTCAAGCTCCCCTAAATTTTAACTCAACACCCCTGAAAAATAAAGAAACCATCATTAGGATTGTGTAAGGGAACTCAGTTCTCAAACCTTAGATTTACCAAATTATTGAATAAATTTGGAATAAATATGGAATAAATGATGACACTGTTAAACGGGCCAGTAAATCTATGATTTTATTTATTCATTTTGCAATAGTTGGATCCTCAACACCACCTGTCAATCAATCAAGCAGGCTTGTCAGCAACTAACTAATCAGCGATCAGAATTTGTCTCAAAGTTAAACATCCCATTACTTGCAGGAGCTACACCCCCTTTTCTCTGTCTACATTGTTTGGGTTGTGCATTATGAACACTTTGCGGTCACAGGTTAATAGTTAATTTAAAGGTTAATGCTTATAGCTAATTGTGCTTTGTTTTGTGGGTTTTACATGTAGATGTGTTGCAACTTCTGGTTGCATAAGTTTAGTATTTGTTATAATCAGTTAACACATAGTGTTTATTGGTTGTGTAATGGACTGTACTTATATAATGCTTTTCTATCTGATCAAGATACTCAAAGCGCTTTACACTACAATCTGTGTCCTCATTTACCCATTCATACAGCACTCTACTAGATTTCTACAAAGCTAATTGAACAAATCATTCTAAAGAGACTAATCAGTTCTTTATCACATTCATACACTGATGGGACACACATCAGAGGCGATGGGGGTTCAGTGTCTTGCCTAGGGACACTTCGGCATGTGACTGCTGGTGGATTCGAACCCCCTACTCTTGCATTGGAGGACGACTGCTCTAACCACTCAGCCACAGCCGTTCTGAACAGCCATAAAGAAAAGTGGAGCACTATGTCCGTAGCATCTTAGCTAGCATGTCTGTATTGCACATCACTACTTCTTGTTGTGCCGTGCTCTCTAAAATAGTTATTGGATCAAGTGTTTACTTATGTAGGTAAACGCAGATGTTTAACAACCCATTAAAATACAAAAGAATGCAGGAAATAGTGTCTACTTTATTTTAAAAAAATTCAGGGTGAGGATCCCAAGACCCCCTGACCCCCACCCCCCACCCCACCCCAGCATTGTGCCCCACCACCACCACTTTACAAATGCTTCTGATGCCAATGGCCATCATGGTGTTCAAGCCAAGAGCCATTGTCAAAACTGGGGACTAAAGCAACCCTAAAGGGCAGATTCTAGAATCACCCCTGCTTCATAACAAGTATGCTAAAAGCATTTCAAATTTTTTTCAAGATAACTAGAGGTTCCCTAACCATTTCCACTCATGTTTTGTGACATGTTGGGGTCTCAATCCCAAATTTTGAAATAACTGATTTACTCCAGAGTACTGGAATGGAGGCTCAAACTGCTTCTCAAACCTTGAATTCTGAAGGAGAAGGCTGGGTTTTGTCCTGGCCCCAGAACAGTGGATGAAATCTTCACCCTTGTGGAGTTGCTAAGAGGATCATGGGAGTTAGACTCACCAGTCTACGTGCTTTGTGTACCTAGAGATGACTTTTTACTTTGTTCCCTGAGGCATTCAGTAGGGGGTGCTGCAGACGCAAAGAGTGCCATGGTCATTTCTAAGAGTTATCCGGTCTCTGTAGAACCAAAGTTGGTGCTGTGTCAGCATCCTTGGCAGAAAAGGTTGAAATTGTTCCTGATGTGAAAAGTCAAAGTCAAATTTTTTTTTATTTGTCATACATGTCACATGTGGTGGAACAAAATGGTGTACACAGTGTCCCAGTTACATCCAAGAAAAGTATAAAATGTAAAAGAAAAACGGTAATAAGATCTAAGATATGAACTTAGAAAAAAGTTAAACAAAAAAATACGCTAAGCACTAGTAGTACAAAAACAAAACGCCAAACAGCAGAACGAACATGAGTCTGTGAGCAGATGAGTACAAATGAATGTTAAATGGACTGTACTTATATAGTGCCTTTCTATCTTATCGAGATAATCAAAGCACTTTACTATACTATTACTACTCTATTAGATCTCTACAAAGCTAATTGAACAAATCATTCTAAAGAGACTAATCAGTGCTTTATTACATTCGTACACGGATGGGACACATATCGGTGGCAACAAGGGGTTCAGTGTCTTGCCCAGGGACATTTCGGCATGTGACTGCTGGTGGATTTGAACCCCCAACTCTTGCATTGGAGGACGACTGCTCTAACCACGCAGCCACAGCTGCCCTATGAACACAGCAGCATGAAATAAATCAGCAGCATGATGTGATTTTTTTCAGTGATTATCCCATTTAGACATTCATGAGTCTAACAGTTTCAGGGTAGAACCTGTTCCTCAGTCTTGTGGTTCTACACTTAATGCTCCTCAACCTCCTGCCTGAGAGGAGTTGGGCTGTGTGTGTGTGCTGGGTGAGTGGGGTTCTTCATGATGCAGGTGGCCCTCTTTCTGCATCTGGAGATGTAGATGTCTGTGATGGTGGCGAGGCCGACTCCAACAGTCTTCTGTGCAGCCTTCACTACACTCTGCAAAGCTTTTCTTTCTGCAGCTGTGCAGCCATGCCACATGTTGATGCTGGAGCACAGGATGTTCTCCACTGCACAGCTGTAGAAGGAGGGAGGTGAGGACTGAGCTTCCCAAAAGCAGCTCGCCTCAGCCGCTTGAGGAGGTTGACTCAAGTATCTGATGTGCTTTCTTGGTCAGGAAGATAGTGTTGTTTCCCCAGCTGATGCTGTCATTCAGGTGCACACCCAAGTACTTGTAGCTGGAAACCACTTCCACCACAGATCCTCTTATGTTCATTGGTGTGTAGGTGTATTTGTTCCTTCTGAAGTCCACAATCATCTCCTTTGTCCTCTTCACATTGATGTGAAGATTGTTCTTCTTGCACCAGCTCTTCAGGTGTTCCACCTCCTGCCTGTCGCTGGACTCATCATTGTTTGTGATGTATCCCACCACCTCTGTATCAACTTTACAATATGACAGCCTGAATGGGTAGGTGCACAGTCATACATGAGTAGAGTGAACAGGACAGGGCTCAGCACACAGAACTGAGGGGAGCCAGTGCTGAGGGTTATGGTGGAGGAGGAGAAGTTGTGGATCCTCACATACTACAATATGTTTGTCCATCAGTGTCTGGGGGATCATGGTATTAAAGGCAGATGTGAAGTCCACAAAGCATACGGACGTAGGAGTCCTTCTGCTCGAGGTGGGTAAGAGCAGTGTGGACCACAGAGGAGATGGCATCTTCTGTTGATTGATTCTCACAGTATGCATCCTTGTGAGGG